GCAAGCTAGAAGGAGCCGAAATGCGGGAATAGCGGCCAGGGTGTTAGATTACCTTAGAAACCGCGTTAACTTCAAGCTTGGGCTGCTTCACTTGCAGGAAATGCCTACCTGGGACCTTGGTATCAGAGGTTTTGGCCCTTGATCAGTAAGCCCCGACAGTTCTGCAGCTTTAGTTACGCGCGCCAGGACCATTTTCGGAGCCAACTGCCTCAATCTCGTGTTGAAGATTCGCGGGTTTAGGATTAAGAGTGAAGTGTTCAAGGTGCAAGGAAACTTGCCCACGAAAAATCTATGCTCCAGCGGTTCTTAAGCCCTGAACCCGGAAAGCAGAAATCGTGACATCCAGGGTTTCGGCTCCATGAGTCAACCAAGATCCCTAAACGTTTCAAGTTTTCGGCCAGAGAGGCTACAGAGCTTCGTGTAGAGTTTGGGATTCATGAAGCCGTGGCTCCAAGAACTGCATCGAGATTTCACATCTATCGCATCTGCCCAACATGCCATGCCACCAAGACTGGAAGCTCCGAGGCAGAGTTCCGGTGATCGGCGAAGGATTGCAATCCCAGCATCAGACGCCAAAACAGCTGACAGTCCGGTGTTGAAGGATGCGGCGGCACCGGGTTTTCAGAATGCAGCGGCCTAGTAAGGCACGCCGGAACACGGACTTTGGAGAACCGAGTCTCACGACTTCCGGATCCTGCCGTCTTATCGGTAACCATCTTTAAGAGACCCGAACATTGGTCCACACTAGTCAACAGCCCATTCAAGATCACCAAACCCTAAACTCTAAACCCAACTGGTACCTAGACGGGCTCCGCACCTTAGAACAATCAGAGATGCTTCAGTCACATTAACACCACATGCACACTGTGAGGGACCGTCGGCTACAGTTGCAAGAACCCGGATCCCGAAACCTCTGGCCCTTCATTTAGAAGTTTAGGGTTCAGGGTGCGTCCCCACCCCCAAGCCCAGATGTGGCCCTTCAAGCCCCTTAGCCGGGCCTTCCACACGCCTTCACGCCGGAACCTTGCCAGCCGCGCTTGGGGCTTCCAGGGCAGAGTGATGTAGGGTGTACAGGGGTTTGGGGATGAGTTTCGGATTCTGCTGTCATGTTGTAGTGGGTTTAGGGTCTAGGATGGTTTAGGGCTCAAGTTTACATCAGGGCTTGTTGGTGTTGCAGTTGGGGATTGCTCAACGGAGGAATGAGCGCTGATCTGAGTGAGGGTTCTGTGGCTCGGATGCAAAGATATGCAAAGCATCCGTGGTGGTCACTTTGCACCTGAAACTGAAACCGCAAAGCCCAGACCTCAAACCAAAAAAAGTGCTACCTTAAGCTCTTGTTCTCAACGAGACCGACCCAAACCGCTGTTGGGCTCAGGCTCATGACAAGCGACCTTGGATGCTACGATTTTGAGCAGTTGGTCGATCTTGCCGTCCATGGAATTCATTCTTGCCTGCATCGCTGTTCGCACTTGGGGTTTAGGGCTTGGGGTTGAGGGACCCTAAGCCATTAAAGACCCGCGAAACCTCTGGAAAATCCGAAAGCAGAATGCCCCAAAGCGCCAACCTTGGCCAAACCATAAGGAAAACCCAGAACAAAAACCCTCCCCGAAGCAGCGAAAGAACCCAGAAAGCCGCAACAGCATGAGCCCTCTAACCTTCAGACAAAACCCAACATGAACACAAAAAGAAGTGAATAGAAGGATCACCGTCCGAAGCTACTCCACTAAAAAACCTAGACTTGAGAACCCTGAAAGCTGAAGAACTAAGACGCAAGAGTCGAAAGAAGGTCCTTCTGCTCTTCGTGCTGCTTCTGCAACTTCCCCTCCAGAAGTTGCATCTTGTCCTCTTCAAAGCTTCAAAAGGTTTCAAGTTCAAGCTAGCGTATGGCTACCACCCGAATTTAGCCAGTTTCGCGGTCTTCAATCTCGGCGGTGGGGATTTAGGGAGAGCGGGACAGGGGGAGGGGCGGGAGGGCGGGAGTGGCGGTGCGAAGGCGGTGTTGACTTTTCCTACTTGTAAAGGATGTCTATGGAGTGTTCTCAGATTTCGGATTGAGATGCAGGCTGCGTCATCAACATCGTCTCACAAACCAGGTGCATTAGGTGATACTTCTGGCAAGCTTACATCGAAAAACCATGCCCAACCCACGGGTGTAGCAACAGCCTTGCACAACTAAGCGCTTTGGTGCTAGGCTCTCGAAGCCCTCAACATGCGTCTGAAATTGCAGGTACATGCAATCTTCTGGCACAGAACACCGGGAAGAAATTCCGCGCGGCGGGAACTGTATGATCTGGGATTTAGGTTTCGGGCCCTGGCTTCAAGCATCAACTACTCCGAGAAACGAGTTGTTGCTGGGCAGTTGGAGCACAGGGTTCGTTCAGAACAGTGATTTCGTGTGTCGCTTTGGAGGCATCGCCCGTGAAAGCCCTTTATTAACTGTTGGTAGCATGACGGTTGCTGACCTAGACTGCCAGAGGCGAGCGATTGGCTTTGGACCCAACTTGGCCCAGCTAATGCCATGGCACAACCCTAAACCCTAAACCCCCAAACCCTAAACCCTAACCCCACCACACGACTGCCCTCGTAAACCACGAGGAAGCCTTCCTCATGCTGCAGCCGGCCGCAAGTGCGGGCATACCGCGAGCATAGGGAAGTGGCCAAGACCACCACAAGCTGTCATAGCAACCCTATAGAAAAACTATAGAGACCTTTAAAGAGATCCGTTTATCTGTATATTGAGCCATTATCTTTTGTAGTGACACACTTCCAGGAGGTCCTTTAGGTCGCTGCGCATGCTTCGCAGATCGTCCAGCGCAGTTTCCTTCCAGGCTCTAATCGAGTTTCGAATTTAACTGTAAACCCTTAACTAAAACCTAAACCCTAAACCCTACATTTCAAACCCTGAACCCTGAACCCTAATTAAGCGCTAAATCCTTCAAGGTTTGATGTGTGGTTCTGGCGGTGAGCTCGTGGAGCCACCGATTGAAACGGGGTTAGGGTTTAGGGTTGCAACTCAACTTGCAATGTGTCTGGGATTAGATTGAGCTGGCAGACAAGTTTCGGATTTTTGCCCAAGTTTTGAAACCCCGAAACCCTGAAAACTTACCGACTTAACCCCGATCCATGCGGCGAGGCTCGGTCCGGACCAGTGCAAAAATCTCGCACTCTTCGGCGAAACGATCTCCAAAAAGGCCGAATAAGCTGAGGTTGAGCGTGTAGCGAATGCCTTTCGGGGGTTGCGGGACTGAAAACTTTGTACACAGCTGCCTTGCATGGTGCTGCTTCCCCAGAGAGCCCAATGTATTCATAGCTCAACAGACACTAACTGTCACTAGCTGAGATCACTAAGACCCTCAACCTGTAGGGTTCTCTACGATACATACAGTATGAAGCACCCCCAAGCCCCTGTTAAGCTCTTCAAGGGCCCTATCGTGACTTCCGCAAGCCTTTCAGCCCGTAGTGTAAGGGATATTCGGTTACAGGAAGCCATCGCGCTCCCTTGGGCCATTGGTTTACACGGTTTTAGGCTCCCTAGACTTAAACTTAGACCCCAACCCATCAAACTCCAAAACCCCAAACCCCTGAACCCTAAAACCCCGAACCCGAAACATCCTGAAGCCCTGAAACCCCATAAGCCCGTAGGGCCCTTTATAAAGGAACCCTACGGCCCTACGGCAAAGGCCTGTGAGTCGGAAGCCCACCGCTTGCAGCAGCAGCGTGAGGACCGCGAAAACCAGCAAGCTCGTCAGGGACCCGGCGAGCAGCACCAGGCATACTACCTGTTCAGGTTCCGGGTCTGGGGTTCTAGGGTTTGGGGTTTGGGGTTTGGGGTTTGGGTTTTGGGTTTTGGGGTTCAGGGTTCAGGGCTTATGAAGGTTTGGGGTTTGGGGTTTCGGCAAGAAGCTCAAACTGTGTATATCATAATATAGGAACCTGATGAAGAAACCCTGAGTCTTCATTGGGGTTCTTAGTAGTATGAACCCCAATATATTGAGGTTATAGGGGCAGGGTTTCTTAATCAGGTTCCTACATTAGACTAGAATGTAGACTACCAGAAGCAACCCAAGACGTTCACAGCTCTGCCATTGTCGAAGTAAGCTGCTGGAATGCCAAGGGCCAAAACTTTGTACTTCGAGACCGGGCTCCAGAGAGCACGCTGCAAGAATCGCTCGAATATATTCTTCTGGTAATACGCCCCTTGCCTTACGAGAGGCTCCATGATCGTTGTGAGAGGGCTCAGTGAGATCTCGGCCAGATTCACAAGGTGCCAGTAACAGGGCGAGGCTTCTCGGCTGGGCTTCTGGGCTGCGGGGTCCAAGATCTTTCGACCGAGCCAGGCGCCCAACATCATCCAAGGCCTGCGCTGCACCTTCGGGCGCATGGTAACGAACGATACCATCCAAGAACTATCCCCATGGACCGCCATCACCCGCCTCAGCAGTATGAATATTCGCCATCGTATTATCAATCAGGACAGAATGAGTTCTGCAAAGAACTGCGCTATATGATGGGTAGCTTCAAGGTAGCCTGACCTTAGAACACTGTGGCGCCCCACTTTTTCGCAACTTGTGCAATCTGAGTGAAACCGTATCCATGAGCCCTAACTCAGAAGCACCCTGACCTCCGGAAGAAACCCTAAACCCCAAACCCTGAACCGTGAACCCTAAACCCTGAACCCTGAACATTGAACCCGAATGCCGAAATGCCAAACCCAAACCCGGTTCCTTTAGCCCAGCACCTGCCTCCAGCAGCATTCTCGCACGGGCCTGCACAAAGAGCCCTTGTGCCCGATCCCGGTGAAAATCGTAGTTGTAGCTTAGGATCGCAATCAGCCTCACTTGCTGAGCTCGGGGTTTCGGGATTTACTGGGGGCCTAGGATTCAGGTGGGGTTCTGGACTTTGTAATGGGCTCGGAGAACAGATGAGCCTTGCCCCCTGCATTTTCGGTGGAAGTGGCTATCCTAGACATTTAGGTGGGGAAGGGGCTCGTTGTAAACTGAAGGGTTAAAGGTGGAAACTTGCCTACCATGCACCAGAGTAGCAAGTTCATGAGCAGCACCGTAATGCCGATCCCGGTGCAGAAGAAGCAGAGCTGCAAGTAGATGTAAGGGAGCTCCTCCAACTCTGTCGGACTGGGGTCAATAGGTTCCCACTTCCCCTCCACGCCCTCCTCTTGCTCAAAGGTGGTGTCTTGGCCCTGGTATTCAAAGAGGTCAAAGTCCCCGAAGATGGCTAATCGGACCGTGTGCAGGAACGAAGAGTATATGGGGTACTCGTCGTCGCCTGGGGCTCATGTCGCGGCGGGTTTTCGGGCTTAGGGTTTAGATTAACCCAAAACCAACTACTGTCATGAAGCAACTTACTGTAAACATCTTTAAGCCCCTATGACCATACCTTTAATCCCCGACCTAAGGTGGAAGATCCCCCTTATGACTTAAAGGCAGTTCCTTACTTCGCCTCGGGGGTTCATGATGACGTAGGCATGGGTCGCACTGGCGACGCAGAGGGAGGTGACGAAGAAGAACGCCCCCGTGTCTCGAACGGCTGACAGAATGGGCAGAAGGTACGGGCCCAGCCACCGCTCTCCACGAAGGCTGTACCTGCAGCCCAAACGGAGTTTGTGGTTTCGGCTTCCTCAATGTTAAGCCCCATATGTCCCTTCGAACATTCGGTCTTTTGGGCTGCAGGCACATGAGTCGGAGCCAATACATCGAACAAAAGCCTGGCAAGAAGATAGGCTCCAACTTTTTCTTGACACAGAGATCCATCTGTTGATAGATCGCACCCGAGCCTGGGTTCTTGCCAAGGAAAGCCACCAAACCGAAAAAACTAAGGAAGATATATCATACATTGCACAGCATGCTTCTCCTATCATGGACCCACACCCTATCCTTACCCCTAAACTCTAAACCTTAAGCACGAACCCAGAAGCCGGCGGCCAAGAAGAGCAGATCAACCAGAGTTTCCAAGCTGGGTG